TATCTCAAGCAAACATATATCAGTGTAAAGTAATCATGATCACAGTGTCCCATGACTGAGGTCTTCAGGATTAAAAGTTGCTTATAGCACTATAGAAGCAAGGGGTGTTGGGAATCCTTGATGTCCATTCTGACTATCTGAGATGAGACATTAAAACAACGATGGATGAGTTGTACATCTTGGTCAGCTGACTCTGCTGACCAAGTGTGAGAGGGGCCACTAAAGCAATGGATGTGCCACTGGAGTGCGCCTCCAAAGGACCGGGACATCTGTGGAAGCTGGGCTACCCCTAGAGTCGCTGCTTCAGGAGACATGAGGTCCTAAAACTTTTTATCTCTACCCTGTTAATGGGGTGATGTTGATGTTGATGTCTCAGGGACCACATTCTGAGGACAATTACATGAAAACCAGAGACTCAGAGAGTGAAGTTTCCAACCCACCAGGGAGGGAAGAGCTGAATGAGACAATAGAGAACAGAGTCCCAGTGTTGACCTTCAACCTCCAGGGCAGGCAGGCCATTCTCCCAAGGGCTTTGTGCAGTGAACCAGACACGATTATTTGGGGCTTTGTGGGCCAGATGATCTCTGCCACAGATACCCAGGTCCTCAACGTGAGCAAAATCAGAACCGAAGGGCATGGCTATGGTCCCACAAAAGGAATATTAGACCAGGACTTTTTCTCCCCCACTCCCCCAGGCTGGGGATGGGACGAAGGGCCTCAAGCTTTCAAAACAAAAGGACTACTGGTGAGCCAGGCACATGCTTTTTAGAAACTCGTGCAAGGGGTTGGATGCAACGCTGTGCCCATCACTGTGTTTGGTACCTACAGTAGCTTCCATAGGGACTGTGGCCTCCTGGGAGGTCTCTGCAGCAAGGCTGGGACCAGCATTGCCAGTATTCTTAGTATCTTGTGAGGTCTGTGAGTGTGCATGTGCGTGTGTGTGTGTGTGTGTGTGTGTGTGTGTGTGTGTGTGAGAGAGAGAGAGAGAGAGAGAGAGAGAGAGAGAGAGAGAGAGAGAGTGAGAGAGAGAGTGTGTGAGTGTGTGTGTGTGTGTGTTTCATGAGCGTGTGCAAGCATATTGGTAGTGACAGCAAATCCCCAATCCTCTGGCTCCAGCCCTTTGGCTGTAAATGTGACCCATTTCTACTCTCAGGGCTGAGAAGGAGTGGAAATAAACCCAGAATTGATGGATGTGCAGGTGTGGAAACTGATACATCAGGCCAGCATTTGGGGAACGACAGTTTAGTTGAGGCTTTATGACCCTAAAGACACCTCTCCTGCCACATCCTTCACTTTACAGTTCAGACTTGGGGCAGAAGGCAGGAGGTGGGGGTTGGGAGCTAACTGTACCTAAACCGGAGTGTGTGAGTTGACTGTGGGTGCTTGTATGGACGCTTGTGCTCCCTACCCTGTGCTCCATATGCAGCTGGAGGTGTGAGGAAGATCAACTCCCACACACTCGCAAGAGTGCGTGCATATGCATGCTCCCACGTGCACACACCTACACGCCCCCCCCCCACACCTGATGTCTGCAGAGGATCTGCACACAAACACAGAGGAGTGCACACACGATCATGCACACACATGAGCACACACAAAGGCACACACAGGATATTTCTCATCTGTGTTCACAGTCAGTCATTCCTCCCCGCCTCTCACTCTGCCTCCCTCTCTCTTCCTCCTGTTCACCTTTTGAGGTTTGCTATGTCTTTCTAGAGGGCTGGTATTATTGTGCTCAGCCCCCCCTTACCTGCTTCTCACCTTCTCTTTTCTCACCCCACCACCCCAATCCCAGACCCCTTCACCAGGCACAAAACCTCAGCTCCACCCCTCACCTCCCAACACCTCTGCCCCAAACCAGGATCTAACCCAGCTCACTAGAATCCCTTCCTTGGCACCTGGGTTGAATCACAACAACAAAAATGCATCTTATCTAAGCAATGTATGAGACCAGGGCACCTGCTGAATTCTAAGTGTGTCCCAAATGTGCCCAAGTCCCAGGGAGAGGCCCTAGCTACCAGTGTCAGCTGTCCCCGAGGGAGGGCCTAGGGTGTCATCACAGTCAGAGGTGGAAGATGCCTGCCCACCTAGGATAGCACTGTCACACTCATTTAATAGAGAGAGGAACTGAGGCTCCAGGAAGTTTGCCCAAAACCAGAGTCTGCACAACACCAAGGCCTGGTGGCCGAGGACAGCAAGGGCCTGGAATTTTGATTGAATACTAAGACCGCACATTACCTCTTATTTTCCTCCAAAGTCGGTAACAGGCCCTGCCCTGTGCAAATGCCTCCAGTGGATCACTGTACTCAAAAATCCAGAATGTGACATGAATCTTAAAAGGTCTTATTAATAAAAACAAACCCAGAGCCAGGTATTGGGGTGAACGCTGAATGATCAGAGAAACAGAACAAGCCACAGCTTCCTCACCTCACCAATTCCTCACCTGTTTCCTCAGACTGGAAGCTTCTGAGTCCTCATCCAAATGAATCTCAGCAGAACTGCTGCTCAAAAGCCTAAAAGCTTAACCAGCCTAGTTCCTGGTTTTCACGCCTTACATACCTTTCTGCTTTCTGCCCTCACTTCCTGGGATTAAAGGCTCACTTCTTGGGATTAAAGGCATGAGTCACCGTGCCTGGCTGTTTCCAGTGTGGCTTTAAACTCACAGAGATCCGGATGGATCTCTGCCTTCCAAGTGATAGGATTAAAGGCGTGTGCGTCACCATTTTCTAGCCTCTATATTTAGTGGCTGTCCTGTTCTCTGACCCCAGATAAGTTTATTAGGGTACACAATATTTTGGGGAACACAATACCACCACACCAGAACATGAAATGCTCTAAAATATAAAACTTTTTGAGCACTAACATGACACCCTTGAGAAAATCCTATGACATGGGGCTGAAGAGATTGCTCATCGTTTTAGAACACTGGATGCTCTTACAGAGGGTTTGGCTTTGTTCCCAGCACTCACATCAGGTGGCTCACAACTGCCTGTAGCTCCAGCCCCAGGGGGTATGACACCTCTTCTGGCCTCCCCAGGCACGGCACTCACATGCACATACCCACACAGACATAATTTTAAAATGATAAAAATAAGTCTTTAAAAACAAAAATTTTGCGAAACAAAAGTGTGTTTTATGTACAATATTGTGTGAAGTTATCATCATAAGATGCACAGGAACCATGAATGAACTTCGTGTTTAGACCGGGATTCTCCCCCAAGACATGTCTTTACACATATGCATATACCAGAATTAGAGAAAATAATAAAATCCAGAATCTAAAACACTTCCAGTTCCAGGCATTTTGGATAAGAGATTCTCATCCTAGACAGTCAGTGCAGAAAGTCTGAATAGTACACACACACACACACACACACACACACACACACACACTCATGCAGTTATCAACAATGTCATTGATCTTCCATGGATAGACTTTCAACTTTTACCCATGTTGTACTGTGTACACACACACACACACACACACACACACACACACACACACACATCTATGTATGTATCTTGAACTCCTGATCTTCCTGCACTGGGCTTACAGGCATGCACCACCATGTGCAGCTTAAAATTATACATCTCATATATTTTGTGTGTGTGTGTATTCATAAATGTTCATATATGTGTATGCAGGTACACATTCACATTCAGGTGCACACACACATATTTGTGCATGTGTATGTATGTATGGGTGCAGGTGTGTGTTCCTGTGTGTGCATACAAGTGTATGAGACCAGAGAACAACTTCAGCTTTCCTGCCTCAGGTGCCATCCACCTGTGTTTTTGAGAGAGCATCTCTTGCTGGACTATGCTCTCCTAGGAGCCGGGCTATTTGGTCAGAATGTCCTGGGATCCACCTGTCACCACTGTCCACAGCCCTGGGGTTACAAGAATGGCTCGCCACCCCATCTTTATATGTAATCATAATTAGTGTGTGTATGTGTGGGGAGATGCATATCTACAGTGTCCCTGAAGAGACTGAGGCCGAGGATAACCGGAGCAGCTGTCTCCTTCCACTTTTACATGGGTTAAACTCAGGTCGTCATGCATTTACAGCAAGCGCCTTCGCCCACTGAGCCCTCTGGCCGGCCCCATCCATTTTTCCTGTTTACGTGGCTTCAGGGAATCAAACTCAAGTCTTCACATTTGCAACAGAAGCGCTGTACCAGCCTGTTTGGGGTTACTTTCCTTCTGTGCATGAGGCTACTCCAGGAACGGGCTTCCATGGGTTAATGGATGGAGCCGCGTCCCATCTATCCCAAGAAAACAAATCACCTGGTTACCCTAAGTGCTCGCTGCTACTCTGTATCTATAATGGCGTCAAACTGGAAACAACCCCCCACTCCACCCCTCAACCCCCACGCCTATGCAGAGTAAAATAAGCCGTGAACGTCTTTCTGACCCTGTTCAAAAGATGGCACTGAAATTCTCTACTGAGAAGGAACAATGTCCCGCACAGTGTCTGACCAAAAGCCTGTAGCAGAACAGAGCCGTGGTTGTGTGTGGGTCTGCGAGCGGGGGCGTTTGTGTCTCCTGGAGACTATTTAACTAAATACTAACAGCTGCTGTCTAGGGGCGGCATTGGGAGATTAACATTTTTGCGTTAGGTTTATTTCTTTCTGGAATATCATGTTTCTTCCTCTTTGCGGGGAGCAGAGAGGACTTTGTAATGGGGGTTGGGTGGCCAACCAGAGCCACTTTGATTGATTTATTTCACAATTTCATACATCTACTGATCATATTTACCCACCCCTCCCTCGTTCAACTCTCCCTGGGTCCCCACACACACTATACATACCTTCTTCTTCTTTAATGACCTCTGAGACCTATCAGTGTTTCTTGTGTATGCATGGATGTGAGGCCATCCAATAGGAGCATGGGCAAACCACCAGGACAGCCCCTTTGGTTTTGTGCCTTGGAGTCCCCCCACCCCCACCAAGAATTTGGCTCCTCCCTACAGCAAGGCTCTGTGTACTCATGTGTTGCAGACTCCGACAGCCAGTGCAGCCCCACACGGCACAGCCTCAGCTTGTCTGAGGGAGAGGAGCAGATGGACCGTCTACAGCATGTGGAGCTCGTGAGGACCACGCCTATGTCCCACTGGAAGGCTGGCACAGTGCAGGCCTGGCTGGAGGTGGTGATGGCCATGCCCATGTACGTCAAGGCCTGTGCAGAGAATGTCAAGAGCGGGAAGGTAGGCAGCCCGGGCCCCTGGGGGATGCCCCTGGACCTTCCCATGAGTGCTATCCCCTCCCAGGAATTGACTGTCTCCATTCTATCTTGGGGACAAGAGGAGATTGGCCAACTTATTGCAGGCCCAGGTCACCAGTAAACCAGTCTTCCTAGCAAGGAACACAGCCCTTTGTAATCAAGCCACCTTGTCCTTAAAATGGGACCAACCTCTCCTTAGCTGGCAGAAGAGGGACAGGGCTGGACTGGGGGGCTCTTTAGCCTAGGTGGTGGTCCCACACATCTTGGTCCAAACAGTATCCCACCCAGTGGTCCATAACAGTAGCTGAGCCCAGGACCTCCAGGAGCCCAGCAAAGGGTGACAGAAAGGCACAGCCAGGCATCAGGAGCGAGGTGAAGCAAGATGGTCCCAAGGGACTTGGAGCCCCACATTAGACATCCCACAGCTCCTAGAAACAGGCTATTTATTTGTTTATTTTTGGTTTTTTGAGATACAGTTTCTCTGTGTAGCCCTGGCTGTCTTGGAACTCACTCTGTAGACCAGGCTGGCCTCAAACTTAGAGATCCACTTGCTTCTGCCTCCCCACCTGGGGTTCCAGGTGCCACAGCCAGGCTCTCCTTACTCCTTGCCCCACCTCTTACCTTCGGGCACTAAGTCTAGCTCTTGAAAGCAGGTGCTTCTCAGCCTGAGCGATGAGGACCTGGAGTTGGGCCTGGGTGTGTGCAGCTCCTTGCACAGGCGTAAGCTCCGCTTGGCGATCGAGGACTACCGCGACGCCGAAGCTGGCCGCAGGTGAGCCTCTGAGACCTGGGAAGACAAGGGCTTCCTAACCCGAGCCTCCCTGTCACCCAGGCAAGCAGGGCACTGGGTCGCACCACATTTCAGGATGTTGGGTGTAGCAAAGATGGTGCCCTGCCACCAAAGAGAAATGGACACACGGGAGGGGGCACGCATGCCCAGAACATTGGTGACAAAACTCCACCCCAGGGCAGGAGTCAGGAGAGTGACTGCCTCCCAGCACTCTTCTGCCTGCCCAGCTGGTGGGGACCAGGCCACACACAGCCAACAGGTCTGCCTTACCTACACAAAGCTCAGGTCTATCCATCCCAGAGTGAAGGAATGAAGCAGGAGGGAAGACAGAGGTAGACACAGAGGTAGAAAGAGGAGACAAAGGGGCTGGATAGCCTCATGGAAGTCTCCTACAGAGGAGCAGAGACAACTGGTCCAGGCCTCCCTTAGCAGATGTACCTGATGGTGGCTGGTAGCCCTTCCCTCCAGGCTGTCCTTGCTGGAGCACCCCCACCCATACCACCCCCACCCCCATACCACCCCTACCCAGCCCCATCCTTCCCTACTTCTCTCTTGACTTCCTGGGGTTCCACTTTTTGAACAACTCTCATGCAAAGGGAAGCCTCCCTCCCCCAACCCCCGGCCCTTGGTGCTCAGAGTGGGGAGGGGCCGGTTTTGTAAACCTGACGCGGTCTGTATTGCATAATTATCTCCTTCGCTGGTTTCCCTTCGTTTCTGTACAGTTAATTAATCAGACCCGATGGTGTGTGCTACTAACTGCAGAAGATGCTTTGTGGATTAACAGCGAGAGAGAGAGACAGAGACAGAGACAGAGAGACAGACAGAGACAGAGAGACAGAGACAGAGACACACAGAGAGAGAGACAGACAGAGACAGAGACACAGAGAGAGACAGACAGACAGAGACAGAGAGACAGAGACAGAGACACAGAGAGAGACAGACAGACAGACAGAGACAGAGAGACAGAGACAGAGACACAGAGAGAGAGAGACAGACAGACAGAGACAGAGAGACAGAGACAGAGACACAGAGAGAGAGAGACAGACAGACAGAGACAGAGAGATAGAGACAGAGACACAGAGAGAGAGAGACAGACAGACAGAGACAGAGAGATAGAGACAGAGAGAGACAGAGACAGAGAGAGAAGAGAGACAGAGAGAGAGGGACAGAGAGAGAGAGAGACAGAGACAGAGAGACAGAGACAGAGACAGACAGAGAGACAGAGAGAGAGAGAGATACAGAGAGAGAGGAGGGGCTGAGGAGTGCACACAACCCTGTGTGGCAGGAGAGGGGCCCTGGTGCCATGCCAAGGTGCCGAGGATTACTGAGAAGGGGTCAGAAAGCTGGCAGCTTGGAGCCGGCAGCGGAGGTGCCAGGCTAGGAGGGAAGGGCTGACGGGGTGGTGCCGGGAGGCACTTCAACCCTGCTGGGTCCTCTCTCCCAAGAACTCCGGCTCCAGAAGCACCTTCCCAGCCACCTCCTGACCATTTGCTTTCTCTAGACCCCAAAGTCCCCGCACATCATCCATCCTGCCACTGGAGCTAAAAACCCCCTCCTGCTCACATCATGCCCCACATACTAGAGGTTTCCTCCACACTGCCTACGTTCCTCAAGCATGTGCGGCTGCTGGCTTCAGCTCTCAGAAGTTCAGGGAGTCCCCGCCACTGCCTAAGTGTCCACCACTGTCCCCAAAGCATGGCTCTTCCCATCAGCTTGGGTTGCCATAGCAAAATGCTACCAACTGGGTGGCATAAACAACAGACATCTATTTCTCCTGAAAGCTACAAGTCTAGGGGAGCAAGGTCCAGGGGGTCCAGGTTCCAATGGGGGTACCCCCTGGTTATATATGGCAGCCTTCTTACAGGGTCCTCACACGGGGCGGCGGTATCATTTACCGCTAGTGACGCCAGGTAACCCTAACGCCGCCCATGGCCCCACTTCAGATGCCATCACAGAGACATGTGGATGTAGGGGTCAAACACTGGTCCATTACAGGAGCTGAGCCTGAAATCCACCAGGAGCTCAGAAGGTGTGGTTCAAAAAGCACAACCATGTGTGCAGGAGAGAGTTAGAGCAGGATAATCCCAAGGAACACGGGGTCCCCACATTAGACAGCGCAGGTCCTGTGAAGAGAGCCCTTACTGTGAGATTCCTATGCCAGGTTGCTCTGCCTTCTCTGAGATTCAGTTTCCTTACCTGTGAAGTAAAGAGGGAAGATTTAACCAGAAGTTAAGGATTGGACCCTTTTAGGAATCCAGTACAGGTTGATGCCCTCCTCAGATGAACTGTACAAGGCTACATCTTTGCATTTTGAACCCTCTGACTCAGCCATGGAACTTTTAAAAGCTCGTGGACTCTGGGGTCAGAGTCCCAAGGTGGGTTGTCTCAAACTCTGTCAACTGTGATAATGGACGTGGCCACTCCGGGCCCAACACCCCCCTTTGCAAACCGTCACCTGGCTCTTTACAAATACAATTCCATTCACCCATTCCATCCATGCCTCAGACATAATTACCCCCATCTTAGAGACAAAGAATCAAGTGCAGACAGACAGCATGAAAAAGTCGCACCCCCTCAGAGCTGGCTCTAAGGACATTGGTAGAAACACTGTCACCTCCTACTGTTAGCTGTGGAGCTGGGCTTAGGGATTCTTGTTCTCCAACCCCTTCAGTCCCCACCACTCCATGCGGCAAGTGTGGCTATCTCTATTTTTACAGAGGAAACTGAGTCCTGGGGTTGCATGCTCCCAAACTCAGAATAGTCTCCCAATATAACCAGATGGTCTCTCCATGACATGCCTGTCATCAGACCACAGGGTCTGACCTGGCTCCACCTGAGGAAGAGGTATGGACAACTGTTAATGAAACAGCAACTGGATTCCTTTGGAAGCCAGACTTGAGTTCCTATGTCAGCTCTGAGTAGCAGCTGGGCAAGCGTGACTGAGCTTCAGTGCAGAGGTGTTTTGAAGGTCAGATGCACATTCTTTGGGAGCTTGTAGAGGGACACTACTGGTTACAAGTGAGCCACGGCTGAGGAGGTCAGGCCACGTGTGCCTCCTGGCCACCAACCCCAACATTGTGGCACCATTGACTTCAGAAGGATGGGTGGCAGGGCACGCTTCCCTTATTCCCATCAGTGCCAACCCTGCCAGGAGCCTCCAATTCAGAGCCATGATGGGCATGAGGGCTGGGGCTAGACAAGGGCCCTCTGTGGCAAAGTAGGCCAGCCCTGGAGGCTGAAAGAGCTCTGGACTGGAACCATCATCCCAGAAGGAAGATTATCTTGGGCTGGAATGTTCTGGTGTAGGGGCCACATCAGGGCAGAGTGGAGCCCAGTCCCACCCCTGGCCTTGAGCAGTTAGTTTTGAGACATGCCAGGCAGCATTCACTCTGCAGGATGGGCTGAGTGAGCTGGCCCGGGCCTTGCCAGGACAGTCTAGTGAGGGAGTTGACCTACAAGCTGTAGTTAACCCCAACATGCCAGGTACACACACGGGGATCTGGGACCTTTGGCAAGAGAAAGGATCCTGGTCCTGGGGGGAGTTCCTGAAAGGTGTCTGGGAGACTAGACAGCCCAGTGGAGCCTGTAGGAGATGATAAAGAGGGAATGGTGGGCAACAGGCCTGGAGACAGAGGACAAGGTTCTGCTTGGGGAAACAGCGAAGCAGTTCCAGGAGATTCGGCAAAGGGAGGGAGAGGGAGCCAGGACCCATGCAGACATTCTGCCAACAAGTAGTTAGTGAGTGTCTGCCAATCAGCCCCACACCCACTGTGTCAGAGAACACGGCCCTGCTCCTGACCACCACTCCTGTACCCTAAGTTAGCGACGAGGACAATAAACCAGTGGATAAATCCCTTTGTACTTAAATGCACCAGGCATTGAGTGCTTTGAGGGCAGTAACCAGAGCGGCAGGATTGAAGGAGGGGACAATCTTAGATGGCAGACAGCCCCTGGGGGACGGACGGAGGAGAAAGCCCTGTCAGCACCTCGAGTGCAGGTTCAGAAGATGCTCAGCAGGTGTTGGGGTAAAAGAAGGTCAGGAAAGCATCTGAAACAGGAACAGCTTTCTCCAGCTGCCCCAGAGAAGGGCAGCATCCCTTTGAAAGCCAATTGTGTTCCCTTCCACCGAGTGTTCCCCTCGTGTTTGCTCCTGGCTCCCACCTAGACAACGTTGGGCTCCCACCAGCCAGCACTAGGTCATTTTTCAAGTCCCTCCGCAGGTATGTTGCGAGGACCTCATTCCTTCTGTGAGGCTGCCACCGTGTGGTAGTCAGAGGAATGACATCTAGAGACCGCCTTAGCCAGGTGTATCCCCATCCTTCAGCAAAGCCTTTTTGCAGAATGCACACCAGGCGGCTCACAACCAGTACCTCCAATTCCAGACAAGTAGACACCTTCTGGCCTCCAAGGACACCTGCACATACATGGTGTGCATGAACTTACACAGGCACACCCACACATACACCTAAAATAGTGAATAAAGCTTTTAAAGCTTTTTTTTTTTTTTTTTTTTGCATACCTACAATGTGCATGCTTCTGAGGTTCTGTCCTGCGCAAGTCTGAGGTGTGGCAGCAAGGTAGCGACAGCATCCTGGGGATAGGGTGATCTGGGTTTCTCTGACTCAGAGATGAGCCAATGGGGGAAGGGCTGAGCCACAGCCCTGTCTTGGGACAGAAGACCTGGAACACTATGTGTGGACCCATGAAGACTTCTCATCCTCCTCCAAACAGGAAAGGGCACTAGAGGATAACAGACAGGTGGACAAGGAGGGGGATGGTCATCCTGGGACTTTGAGGAGTCCTGCAGATCCCTAGGGAAAGAGAGTGGGTCAAAGCAAGGATGGGTCCCCCAGAGGGACACTTTCTGTAGGCAACCCTTCTCCTGACACTGCCCCTTTCAGTGTGAGTCTGAATGTGGTCCAGGGGTATTCATTTTGTTCCTGTGAACCTCTGCCGCTCTTTAGTTCTGTCTGTCTCTCTGCCTTGCTCTCTCCCTCCCTACCCACCTCTGCCTGAGTGTGTGTGTGTGTGTGTGTGTGTGTGTGTGTGTGTGTGTGTGTGTCTGTCTGTCTGTCTGTCTGTCTGTCTCTGTCTGTCTTAGTCGCTCTTTCTGTGTGTGTCTGAATCTCTTTCTCTGTCTTAGTCTCTCTCTCCACGTCTCTGATCACTCCATTCTTTTCTTTCCTCTCTCTCTCTACTCTGTCCCTTTCCCCCTGGTCTCTGGCTTCCTGTCTACTCCCTGTCCTGTCTTTTGTCTCCTCTCCCCATCTCTGACATCATTTCCACCTGCCCCTGCCTCTGACACTTTCCCCACCCCCACTTCTCTCTGGCTATGTCTCCTCAGTCTGTCCAAAGCTGCCGACCTGGACCATCACTGGGTGGCCAAGGCTTGGCTGAACGACATCGGCCTGTCCCAGTATTCCCAGGCCTTCCAGAACCACCTGGTCGATGGGAGGATGCTGAACTCCCTGATGAAGCGGGACCTAGAGAAGCACCTGAATGTCTCCAAGAAGTTCCACCAAGTCAGCATCTTGCTGGGGATCGAGCTGCTGTACCAAGTGAACTTCAGCAGGGAGGTGAGGATTATAAGGGGTGGGGCGGGGGCAGGACTCTCCCACAACCCATCTCCACATCCAATTTCTGTCCAACCATTCACCCGTCCACTCACTGATCCATCCATCCATTCACTTAGTCATCCATCAATCTACCCACCCAATCATTCACTCATCTATCCACCCATTCACACATCCACCCATCTGTTTACCCATCCATCCCTCCATCCACCTGCCCACCCATTGCCCATCTACACCCCCATCTATCCACCTACCCACTGTCCATCCATCCAACCCTTCACCCACCCACCCACCCATATACTTAACCCACAGTCAATCTACTCCCCATCTATCCACCTATCCACTTTCCATCCCACTAACCCCCATCCATCCATCCACCCATATACACATCTATTCATCCATCCATTCACCCATCCCTTCATCCATCCATTCACCCATCCCTTCATCCAACATCTCTTCCTCTCTCCCCCTTCTAGCAACTCCTTACTTGAGTAGACAAGAGCCTATGATCAGTTCAGGGGACCGAGGGAACCCTCAACCTCAGAATCCATTGCTCCTCAGGGAGAACCACTGAAGTCCATGGTGACAACCCTGAGGAGGACACTCAGGGCTCTCCGAAAGCTCTGAGAAACACCTTCTTGGGGATCAGGAGAGTCTGAGGTTATGGAATTAAACAAAGATTAAAAAATCAGCAACTGATTAAGGAAGACAATACAGCAGAGAGAACCATGGTGACCAAGGCCCAGAGTCCAGCTCTGCAGCAACAGGAGAACAGAATGAGTGCCAGTGGGCTTGGGATGGGGGATGGGACCAGAGCCCTGACTGTTGTGGCAGTTCTGATGCCCCTTGATTCTGAACTCTGCTAAGCCAGAGAGCACAGGGCCCCAGCCTCAGTCCCTTACAAGTCCCCTGGGGAAGGTCGCTGAGAGGCTGGTCCTCAGGGTTGGGTCCTTGTGGTTGACTTTATCTAGAGCCATGTCAGAGCATAAGTAGCTCGGTGTTGAGAGAGGAACACAGAGAAGGCCATTAGCCTTGTGGTCCTGTCACCCACAGCATGGCTGGGCAGAAGGAGAAGATGGGGACCAGGCCTTGGCCTCTAGGAGCCCCAGTGTGACGAAGAGGGTAGACATGGGGTGTTCTGACAGTGACATGGAGCAGGACTCACTGAGATAGGGAAAGTGAAGGGGACTTTGGGCCGGAAGTCCTAGAGAGGGGGTCTTAGCTGCTGTTCTGTTGCTGTGAAGAGACACCATGATGGAGGCAACTTATAAAAGAAGGCATTTAATTGGGGGCTCGCTCACAGCTTCAGAGGGTGAGTCCATTTCCATCACGGCAGGAAGCATGGTAGCAGGTGGGCAGGCATGGTGCTGGAGCAGCAGCTCAGAGCTTACATCTGATCCACAAGCAGAGGCAGAGAAAGAGAGGCTGGGAATGCTACAGGCTTCTGACACCTCAAAGCTCACTCTCAGTGACACACCTTCTCCATTAAGGTCCCAAGTCCTAATCCTTCCTAAACACTTCCACCAATGGGAACCAGAGATTCAAATATATGAGCCTACAGGGGGCCGTTTTTATTAAACTACCACAGAGGGCATGCCTCTGGAGCTCTGGCCTGGGAGTCAGTCCCCTAGAGGACTTGTGAAAGAACAGAAAGCTGATTCATCCCCAGGACCCCAAAGATGGCATTTTAAACCAGGATGCACTGACCCCAAGAACCTCCCTGCCATAGGCAGGGCCTCCACAAATGTCCGTCACTGTTCCCATCGCTGGGACAGAGCTGCCACAGGCCTGGGGGACATTGAGCAGACAGACTGTGGGTCTCTATCCAGCCCACACACCTGATCCCCTACATCCTGGGAGGCAGCTCCTTCTGTTTCTTACAACACGGATGGTGTGGCTCAGGCAGCTGTGGGTGGCCCTCATCACACTTGCCCTCCGAGGTCCCCACTAATACCATGGAATGTCCTTCCACATGTGACCTCCGTGTATCCCTCATCCTCTCAACTGACTCCCTGTTCCCCATCTTCCAGGTCCTCCAAGAGCGCCGAGCCCGCTGCGAAACACAGAACACAGACCCTGTGGTCTGGACCAACCAGCGGGTGCTCAAGTGGGTGCGCGATATCGACCTGAAGGTGAGGGGCGATGGTGGTGGAGGCAGGGGGCTGATTCTCCAGCCTATGCAAATGACATGCAAATCAATGTCCACTTGGATGTAAGGTAGGGGGCACCATCACCCAGCCTGACAAGGTCACACTTTCTGTCACTGGAGGAGTCCTCAGTGCTACACAAGGGCCCCTGTTGAGTGCTCTCATCACTGGGCAGTCCTTCGCAATACTTTTTCCATAAACATCTATGGTTCCTGCCAGGGTCCAGCCAGTGTCAGTGACATAAGACCCCTATGTTTACAGCTCTGAGGATGAGGAACAGGTCCCCTTCACTCTCAAATCAGTTGACCCCCGTGGGTGAAACCCTTGCGGTTGGGGTCATATCTCTGCTTGGCACAGTTGGTCCCCAAGACCACCCAGCCTCACGCTTCCGCCCTCAGGAGTATGCGGACAACCTGACCAACAGCGGTGTCCACGGTGCTGTGCTGGTGCTGGAGCCCACCTTCAACGCCGAGGCCATGGCCACCGCCCTAGGCATCCCCAGCGGGAAGCACATCCTCCGAAGGCACCTGGCAGAGGAGATGAGCACCATCTTCCACCCGGCCAAGTGAGTGTGTAGGGCGCAGGCGCGAGGTGCGGGGGCGCAGGCGCGAGGTGCGGCGGCGCAGGCGCGAGGTGCGGGGCACAGACTGAGGATGCCAGCCACTGGATGCAGGGCACAGGGTGAGGAAGCAAATGCTATTGTCACAGCCTTGGTCCTTGCCCGGCTGAGTGCCACCGTCCTTGCACCAAGCTGGTCAGGAAGGTGAGGCTCTGAGAAAGTCAGATACTAGAAAGAGGAGTGTTGGGTCCCGAATGCACGAGTTAATAAATACGCACCGCTGGGACATTTGGAATAGGGAGAGTGAACAACTGTGAGAAAGAGTGAGAAAGGCCGAGTGAGGTGTGGCTTGAGCTGGGGACAATGTGCACTGATTTCATAGAGCAAGGTGGCCATTCTGCCAGGTGTAGCATGGAGACAAAGGTTTAGAGGCAGGATTTGACATATAAACCGTGCTTCTGGTCCAAGGGAGCAGAGCATGGCCACCTACCTACCCTGGACCCCCTGGATCAGAATGAACATACAGACAGCCCAGACCCCCTCTGTGGATGCTGCCCTTACAAGTGGTGCACGGGGTCACACTAGGGCGTGGACCAGCACTTGTCCACTGGGGACATATTTCATCCTAGCATCCTGTCACAGGTGGCAAACTAGTTCTAAGGGCCACTGCTTCCCAAGGCCACCCAGCAGCAACATCCTGCTTGGTCTTGTGTTATATGGATACTGTGAACTACATTTCTGCCCATATGTCGAGCCAACCTTGTGTTCCTGGGACAGGTCTCACTTGCTCAGAGTATCCAGTCCTTTCTGTTGTTCAATCTGATTGGTGCGGTGGGAGGTTTTTGCCTTTATATTCATAAGGCTTACTGATCTATACAGGTTTGATATGGTTTGGGCTTTGGATTTTTGTTGTTTGTCCCCTTTGAAGAAGAGTTGGAATTTATTAAAAGACTTTTTTTAAGCATGAAGGTTAAGAGAATGAGAGGCACTTTGGAAGGAAATAAGACACACTCAAAGGGGGCTCGAGAGATGGCTCAGTGGCTAAGAGCACTGTCTGCTCTTCTCAAGGACCTGGGTTCAATTCCCAGCACCCACGTAGAAGTTTACAACTGTCTGTAAGTTCCAGGGGATCCAACACCCTCGCTCAGACATGCAGGGAAAACACCAATACACATAAAGTAAAAATAAATAATACGCCAGGCGGTGGTGGCGCACGCCTTTAATCCCAGCACTCGGGAGGCAGAGGCAGGCGGATCTCTGTGAGTTCAAGGCCAGCCTGGTCTACAGCGCGAGATCCAGGAAAGGCGCAAAGCTACACAGAGAAACCCTGTCTCGAAAAACCAAAAATAAATAAATAAATAAATAAATAATACATAAAATACACACTCAACAGCAGGGATGTGGGCTTCTCAAGGGAGAGTCAGCTTGTTTTGTTCTGGGGGGATTTGAGGGGAGCAGGTTACTGTTGGTGTCTTTGAGACAGGGTCTCATTATGTAACCCAAGCTGTCCTTCAACTCACTATGTAGCCCAGGCTGGCCTTGAATCATGCATCCTCCTGCCTCAACTTCCCCAGGTGCTGGAATTGCAGGTATGCAATCCTGCTTCTCAGACAATCATTCTGTCTGGATATTGGTGTTGGTGCAGTCCTGGCCTACCAGGGTGAAGAGGGAGGTGTCCCCTCCTCTTCTGTTTTTTGGGAAGGGTTGTAGGGCAGGTGTCTGTCATTTGGGAAGCCATCTGTTTCTAGGCTTTCTCTGTGGAAGGGTTGTGGTCACTAATTCAAGCTCTACTTGCTAGGGATTTATCTAGATTTTATATTTCTTTTTTTAAAGATGTATTATTTTTAATCGTGTATGTGCGTGTGTGTGTGTGTGTGTGTGTGTGTGTGTGTGTGCAGTGTGTATGTAGGGATATGTGCGTGTGAGTGCTGATACCCAAGGGTGGGTGCTGGGACACAAACTGAGGTCCTTAGGAAGGACAATGCATACTCTTAAACCACTAAGCCATCTCTGCAGCCCTAGACTTTCTATTTCTTCTTGAGTCAGGAAGGAAGGCTTTTCTTCTTAGAATCACCTCCCTTTCCCTAACCCCAAATTTTAACAGGCTTAAAATACTCGGAGCCCTGGAGGGGCAGCTTGGACCAGGCACCAGTAGACATTGGTGTGACTACTTAGAGCTTGACTATGGGGGGTAGCAGGTGTCTCTGAACTGTCTAGGGTTCATGGGTGAGCACTAAGGAGGTCTGGGAGGAGAACGGGAGGGTGGCTTCTCGTGATTAGTTGGGCTGCCAACTCCTTGGGAGCTGCAGGAAAGTTGTGGGATTCCTGCCTCTGGATCAGAAGAAGGAATTGGGCTTGCTCCAGGGCTTGGGGGCTGATGGGCCAGGGACAGAGAGGCAGTGCGGCCTTCAACTGGAACCCTGCAGCTTGCTGTCACCTCCGTCCATGATGCTGCCCCACCTATCACACTTGGCTCGTGAGACAAGATCCCCAAGCTGGGATTCAGGAAGCTTTGCTGAGACCCTTCCATGAACCTGGGGAACAGACTTCAGTCAGCTGAGGAGACACAGCACCCCAAGAGTTCCTAAGGAGTTCAGAGACCATCTCAGTGGTCAAGAGAGCCCTCCACCAGAGGGCGTAGTGAGATGCTTGAGAAGGGTCCTAGATTTGATATTAATGGGGCAGTTCTGCAGCGAGCCACACAGGGAAGGTCTCTGTCCTCTGCCCTCCTTCCTTGTCACTACTTTCAGCTTTCAGAGAGGAGAAGCAGGGTGGGGGACGGTGGTGGTGACCCTTCGGCTCCTCCCAGGGTGGTCCTCCCGTGGTGCAGAGGGTTGAGTGGGAAGATTCCAGCTGGAGAAACATTCCTAGTCATTAAGATCAGTATCAGGGCTCCAACCTGGATAGCATCCCAGGCTGGGTGGACACAGTAGTCCTTCACAGTAATGTCAGAATACGTCATCATCGAGGTGCTGTCTCTTCTCTGCTTCGTTTGTCCCCCAGTCTCTCTCTCTCTCTCTCTCTCTCTCTCTCTCTCTCTCTCTCTCTCTCTCTCTCTCTCTCTCACACACACACACACACACACACACACACACACACACACACACACACTCACACTCACACTCCATGAGAAAGGATCATGGATGTTTATTTTTAACCAGTGCTGGAGGTAGAACCCAGGGCCCTGCATATTCTAGACAAGCAAGCACTCTGTTACTGAGCTATATCCATGGCTCTTTAATTTTATTATTTTTTTTATGAGTACCAGTGTTTTGCCTGTGTGTGTGCACCACATGCATGCCTGATGCCCACATGTGGTGCCCATGAAGGCCAGAAAAGGGCATCAGATCCCCTGGAACTGGAGTTATAAACAACTGTAAGCCACCATGTGGGTGCTGGGAACAGAACCCCAATCCTGTCTCCGAAAGAGCAGCAAGTGCTCTTAAGCAGTCGGAATGTGGGAGTGGGGACAGTGGCAGTGGGCTGACTCTCTTACGAGTTGAATAACTTACAACCTGTGAAATGTCCCAGCTCCACAGGCATCCGGGAGTCTGAGCGCTTTGGGACACCCCCTGGCAGGGCCTCCAGCATCACCAGAGCTGGGAAAGAGGACAGCAGCAGCAACAGCAAGTCCAGATCTGGCCGGGTAAGTCGTCTTCTTGTCCTGAGAGCCAGGCATCCTCTCCTGGGTGTACCTAGGGCTCCTTTGTCACCTTTGAACTTGGAGCAGCCTCAGGTCACAGGTGCACGCAGCAGAGCCATCGCGTATCCGGGTCCTTGCCTAAAACAATGCCCAGTGACGAGTATCCATAGAAGGCAGAGTCTATGGAAGGGTGGCTACAGACTGTGGGATCCCCTCATCCTGGCCCCCCGAAGCAAATGGCCCCAGGGGTGCAGAACACCTCACACAGCTAGCTGCCTGGAGGGATCAGGGAGCCCTAGATTCTGAAAACCTCTTACTTAGGTTCTGAACTCCATAGCCAACAAGGAACCCCTGGCACACCCAGTAGGGCAGCAGGGAACAGGGTCAGGTGAACTACATGGCCAGCAAGGAACCCCTGGCACACCCAGTAGGGCAGCAGGGAACAGGGTCAGGTGAACTACATGGCCAGCAAGGAACCCCTGGCACACCCAGTAGGGCAGCAGGGAACAGGGTCAGGTGAACTGCATGGCCAGCAAGGAACCCCTGGCACACCCAGTAGGGCAGCAGGGAACAGGGTCAGGTGAACTGCATGGCCAGCAAGGAACCCCTGGCACACCCAGTAGGGCAGCAGGGAACAGGGGCAGCTGGGCAGAGACCAAACAAAAACTAGTGATAATCAGCATCATGGTCGCCACACTCATGTCTTCCTCTTCACTTGGCTAGACTATTCCTTCTGGACTAAGCATGGAGTACTGCCTCATACCCATGCTTATACATACTCACAGGTACTGTCCCATCTGCCACTCCCAACAGGAAGGAGCAGGGCAACTGTCGGATCGTTAGTCCGAAGTCACCCTTCGTAACTACTTGAATCTCTAGCTGGAAATTCAAACGTTGATTCCTCATGGAAATTCCCCAAATCCCTTTCGTGTGTCTGGGCAGCAGGAGTGGCACTAATAATGAAGGAGCCCAGAGAGGTCCAGGGAGATGCTGAAGGTCATGCAGTAATTAGATCGGAGATGCTTCGCCGCCCAATTCTCATTTCTCTCCTCCTCTGTCCTTTGGTGTGTGTCTCTCTCCTCAGCTGCCCCTCGGGAAGATAGGAAGGGGCTTCAGCAGCAAAGAACCTGATTTTCACGATGACTATGGCTCTCTCGAGAATGAGGACTGTGCGGATGATGACCTCCAAGGCAGGCCTGAACAGTGTCGCTTGGAGGGATACAACAGCCTGGAGGTCACCAATGTGTAAGAGAGCCGTGTGACTCAACTCTGGAAGAGCAAAGGGAGGGATAGCCCAGTGGCCCGGTGCTGCCCACCCGCAACTGTACAGAGAGACCTGGGGCTGAGGGCAGATGTGGTTCCAGGACAGAATGCCCAGAGATGGCCACCATTTCCAGTGGGCACCAAGGACAGAGAATGCCCACCTAGGAGTCTTGTATCTCTGAAGACAGGCGTCCTGAGGACACATCACCCAGCCATGACCCAGCAGGTGGCCCCAGTGCTGTGGTTCAAGGAACTAGCCCGGTACTCCTGGCACTTTACACTAAACTTCCAAGAAAGGGAGGAGGAGTGTCAGTCTCTAGGCCTGGAACACCCTGCTGGGAGGAGCAGGAACCCTCTCCTCCCCACAACCAGCCTTGGCAGAGCCAAGGGTATTGAGAACCAGTTGCAAAACCAGCCGGCAGTGACCAGGTGGTAAATGCCATCCTTCAGCCCACTGGGCAGAGGATGTAAACTCTGACCTGGTCACTCGCTCTGGAAGGATGCAAAATAGCATGGGAGTTCCTTCCACTTTGAGAGCACTACATCACGAGGTGGACATGTTGGGAGCAAGAGGGGATCTCTTCAGGGCAGAGGGGCCTGGCAGCAGCAGCCCCAAAGGATGCGGACATCCTGTCACCAGAATGAATGTGACTTCAAGAGTGTGTGTGTGTGTGGTGGTGCGGGTTACTGAGCTCTGTCCCAGCCATTCCAAGCATGGGTACAAAAATGGGAGAGTGCCTGTCATTAACCCAACAAACCTCTGTTGTGATGTCACCTGAGACAGGTGTGCTCACCCATAACTTAACAGAGGTGCAAATCTCTGGGTCGCTGGGTTGTCCAAGGAAGGAGCTCCCAGCCAGCCCCTTTCTTGATTGGCCACTATTTTGCTGTGTGGCTTCCTCCCAGTAGCCCCACCTCTCAGTGCCTCGGTGTCTTACCTATAATACTTCCGGTTCCTCCCAGGGAAGCTGTGAGGATTAACATGCGCTAACCTTGGTCCCAGGCTTTGAACCTCTCAGGAAACAACCAGAAGGGATGGAATGGGGAGGAGCGAGTCTAGTAACTTTCATCCACAACATTTGCAGACACTGGACAAGTTCGCTCCGTCAGTAGGCAAGGGGGGCGTGCAGAATGTTTATATTGAGAGTTTCCCCAAGCCCCCAGCGAGGCCTGGGAGGGCCACCACAGTCTGCAGTCCTGGGTGCAGCACCCAAGCCCAAGCCGACTGAGCAGAGACTTTGCCTACTGACACTAGGGAGGCCTGGAGCACAGTTGTGAGCTGTCATTCTGCACCAAGCCTCTCTGAGGACATTTGCACCAGGAGTCCAAGAAAGGTTCAGATTCCCAAAGCTGACAGTGGGGGCAGCCTCTGAGCCACCAAAGCCTTCTACAGCGATATAAAGAGCGTCGCCTTGTAGGAGGACCACAAACAGCCCATGAACTTGAGAGCTGCTGGTGCCCCGTGTTGAAGACATCTTCTCGTGAATGATCCCATAGGCAGTCTTCCTCACAATCCGAATCCAGAGGTCTCAGGATTGGGAGGACCCTTTCTGTCTGCATGCCAGCCTCCGATGAACACACATCAGATGCCAGAATGCGTAGGGTGAACCTCTGGGGTATATATAACCCAGCTTTGCTCAGGTCCTGCACCCGGAGTGTTTGTAATATGCATTCCCACCCCTGGAATCCAGAAGCTACTGAGCCCATAGCCCATCAAGGAGAAGGAAGCCCTCTTCTAACTGAGATCAACTGTCACTCTCAAACTATGTCCCTAAGGGGTGACAGAGACTCTGGGCCCAGGAATGTATCGATAACCTCTCTGGAAGGGTTACTGGCTATGCTGGCTCCTTGGAGGGGAAGGTCTAGGTACACCCTCTTCCTAAGGGCAGGGAGTCCTACGGCATCAGAAGGCTCCTTCCCAGTGGACTCTGGGCTTCTGCCCTTGGTGCCTCTGCCAGTCTCCACCCACACCCAGTGGTCACTTCTAGCAGATTCTCTGTCTTGACTCTTCAATACAGGAGGTTGTCATGTGACAGCTAAATACAGAAGTGGAGAGAAGGGATTTCTCTTAAGTCTGGCCAGCATGGGGCACTTAGATCAGGAAACCCCCCACCCCCCACCCCCCCACCCCCAAAAAAAAAACTGAGGTCATGAAGATGGGTGGGGTCTTGGCAGATGTGACTTTGGAGTTCACTGCAGGAGCCTGGGGGAGAGACAGCTCTGCTGGGACCATGATACCCCTTCCCAGAAAACCACTTACTCCAATGACCGCTTCACAGGCCGTGGGGAAAGGTGCCTCCTGGGTGGTGGCAACTTTGGGGTCTCACTCTAGGAGAGGCCACCAGTGTGGATGGTGACAATGTCCCTGACCCAGGAAAGGTTTGTAAATGTAAAGCAAATGAGCCGTGAATGGCAGAGTCCCACACCTTCCCCAAGGAATTCTAACACTGTAACAATAAATGCTCGGCCTGAGGCCACCCCTCTTTTCTTGTTGGCTTTCTCCTTTATTGTCCCAGCATCTTCTCAGAGAAGGGAGACTAGGAGCCCCTGAAACTGATGGGGGTGCTCATTAGAAAGGCTGAGGGTCTCACAGAGGTTAGGAGTGTAGACGCTCACTGCAGATAGGTCGGTCTGAGAGTCAACAGAGTTTCCAGACAATGCTGTGGGTCCAGGGATCACACACAGGTGCCCAGGTCACAACAGACAGAGGGACCTTCCCAGCCAAGACCTTGTCATCATAGATGGGGCTAGACTGTGAGTTCTACCCAGGACTCTCAGTGGCCCTGACAGAAACCACCAGCCTAGCCCAGCTCATCCTGTCTGCGTCTCCCAGACGAGAGGCTTCTGGCTTGACACTAAGATCAGGTGGTGTGTGCCCTGTGAAGTAGGTGCTTAGGGGCAGGAGATGAAGAACTAGAAGATACAGGAGGTAGCCTGGTCAAAAGCTTTACCTGCTGCCACCAGGCTCTGCTCCAGAGGACCTAGTGACCCTAGGCAAGTGTCCCAAGCGTCCTGTTTGTCTTCTGCTAATGTTTTGTTTGCTTTTGGGGTTAGGGTCTTGGTCTAGCCCAGGCTGACCTGAGACTCATTCTGTAGCCCAGGCTAGCCTCTAAATTGACAACCATCCTATCTCAGCTATCTCAGTGCTGGGGCTACAGACGTGTGCTACCATACCTGGCATGTTTTTGTTCCGTTTTAATGAGATGGGTTTGCTGTGAGTGTGGTGTGAGGTTGGTGCTCGGGACCTTTTACTGAATCAGACCATTTATGTGCTCTGTCTGTGTCGGGCACTTGTGGACTAATAGGCTGTCTTTGTCCTCTAAGCCTGTTATTTACAGAGCAATTGTCTTCTGGGTAGGAGGGAGATGGGTCCAGCTTCCAGATTTGCCAATAATGAAATCTCTTCTGCTCTGGGGAATTGGATTGTAAAGATCTACGTGGCCAGGTGGTCCCAGGCAGGGGCTGTGTGGCCCTGTGGGTAGAGCTCAGACCTGGAAAAAGTTCACATTGAGGTCCGAGCTCCCTTGATTAGGAATGGTCCCAAGTGGATGTATATAAACTACCTATGCCTCAGTTTTCCCAGCTGAGAAGCGCAGTCCCTACCAGACGAGATTACTGTGGGGATGAAATAGGCAGACCTACATACAGCTGGAACTTGGGTAGAAATAATTACCCTTCCCCACGGAGACAAAAAATGAAGAAATTTGGGGTGTGGAGGGACACTAGAGAGTCAAGGTGGTGGAGTATTTTCTGGCCCAAGACATCGGTACAGCACTATTATCGAATTGGCATTGAGGGTCGCCCTGAGTCTTTGGGTAGGGGTCCCCACATCTTCAGTTCTGGCCTGGGACCTCCATGAACTGCCAGGACTGAGGCTCCTCTCTGAATATCACCAGGCTCCTCTCCCCTGGGGCCTGGCTGTCTTACTCCCACCTGGAGGGGAAGGGATCTTCAATCAAGAGAAAAGCCCCTCCCATCACATCAGAACATCTCAGAGCTTCATGGAACAACCAGTCCTCACATCTGCAGGCTACCACTGGACAATTCAACCAACCACGACAGAAATACTCAGAAAAACAATTGCATTCGTAACAAACATGTAGACCATTGCCTTGTCCTCACTCCCTAAACAGTATGATATTAAGTTCTATCTGTGCAGCCAGTAGTGTTGACAGGTGTAAGTCATCTACGGGTAATTTTTTTTTTTTTTTTTTTTTTTTTTTTGGTTTTTCGAGACAGGGTTTCTCTGTGTAGCTTTGCGCCTTTTCCTGGAACTCACTTGGTAGCCCAGGCTGGCCTCGAACTCACAGAGATCTGCCTGGCTCTGCCTCCCGAGTGCTGGGATTAAAGGCGTGCGCCACCACCGCCCGGCATCTACGGGTGATTTAAAGCCTTGGGAGGATGCCAGCAGGCAACTGTGAACTGCCCTTTCTGTTAAGGCCTCATTCTCGTAGCTGAGTAACCACAGTGGGTCCCAGGCACCCACCTCCATCCCTGGAAACTGAGGGAGGATTGGTCCCTAGTTTCACTTATCTTGAGAGCCGGGAAAAAATAGCATACACTGACCCCACACCTGGTGGATTAGAAACCCTAGCCTGTCTAAGCCAGTGTGACCACCTCAAAACTTCCATAGAACTATCAGGAGGCAAGCTACACCCACAGCCCAGGGCTGGCTCCTTCTGAGGCCTCTCTCCTTGGCCAGTAGTTGGGCACCTCCTCCCTGTGTTCTTCATGGCTATTCCTTTATATTCACATGTATGATAACACCATCTGTTTATAGACACACAGGTCACATTGCACTAGACACCCCCCACCAACATCCTCATTTTCACTTAATCTCCAAGTATTGTTACAGTCTTAGGTGCTGGGGTTAAGATAGCAACACCTAGATTAGGAGGGATATGATCCAGCCCATAACAGTTCCCCACAACTCCTGTTGGATTTCAGTCACTTGACTGAGGTACCCCAGGTCAGTCTCCCATCATCTTCTGAGTTTAAACCCAAAGAAAAAGGGATTCCCACCCCTTCCTTCAACTCCTACCAAGCAACTAGTTATCTCCACACACCCATGCACCCACCTGCACACCCTCAGTCTCCCCAAGATCTGCATCTACGTTGTGGGTGACATGGGAGAGGGAGCAGACAGACAACTCTGGATTCTCTTTCATAGAAACATGGACCAAAGTTTGCTATTCAAGATACCAAAGGCAATAGTCAGATGTTCAGCAGTGGCCACCCTACATCTCCTCACTGCCCCCTCCGAGGAGCCTCCAGGATTTCCGTTTCCATAAAGAATTCAGAAGCAGAGACTAGGATCTCCATATGAAAATTGAAATGTGTATCTACAGGCCTCAGCTTCTGCTGCAATAGGAACGGGGTGGGTAACTCTAGGGCACAGCCAAGAGCTTGGCTTTCAGTTGCCCTGGGATGACCTTCCTAGGGTCACAGCAGCTTTCAATCCCAATGGGTGCCACTAGATGGCGGGACACATCCCTTACCAGTCCTGACCCATTGAATTCGGCTCAGGAGGTGCAGCACCACCTAGTACCCTCCAGAACTCCAGTCCAGCAAAATCCACCAAGGCTGGGCCCCCTGAAGTTCTTGCCTCTTTCAGAAGACCCAGTGGATGGGCTCTTGGTGGAGAAATGTCTTTTGTTTCCCGACAGAAGGCAAGATGCTCATCTTTAGTAAGGCAGGCAAAATGTAGGCTCTGGCTTCAGGGTGAATCAAGACCCCGGACCCCAGTCCCCATCCCATTCTAGCAGAAGGTCCCATGGTGGGGGTAGCAGTGGGGAGGAGTCATCAAGGCAGGCCAGTAAGATGGCTCAGCAGGTAAAGACACTTGCCCCCAAAGCGTGACTTGAGTTCGGTGTCCAGAATACATCTGGCCAAAGGAGGTGACACCCTCCTTCCCCTAAATGAACGAATGTTTTTAAAAAAGTCAGAGGACCCAAAGGAGAACAGTGGGCATGCAGCCCCAGCCTCAGGGCGTTTTCACAGAGTTGGGCAGCACTTCCCATGTCCCCTGCAGCCACGGGGTCACTAACTCAGCATATCTGGCCACTGCTTCCCCTTCTCAACAGCTGGGTCCTGAGAAGCCAGGACACACTGGCCACAGCTGCTTTTAGCTCGGGTCACCTCCAACCTCTTTCTGAGTGCCAGGGCCTCTCCATCCTCTGCCCCCCAAGCAGATGGGAAGTCCAGATCTGGCTTTGCCGCCTTCTGGGTGAATCCCACAGAGCCCCACCGTGGTTCTCCAGTGTCTGTACGACAAGACAGCTGGATGTAATGTCCAGGACTCTGACCTTGGCCTTCAAGTCACAGGTGTGCTAAGACTGGCTACCTGCACGGTTGAGCAAGGGCCCATCTCACCATCTCTCCTCCATCCAGGGCATCTGTAGTCATGTTGGGAGCTTGTCTCTGAGGTCCACAATCAGAACTTGTGTTTATAGAGCAACTTACCATGAACCAGCATTGCTGTCTGAACTTCACAGACTACCACCAACTGCATCTTACAGAGAAGGATGCCAAGGCCCAAAGGGCTAAACAGTTTATCTAAGGATCTGGACCCCATCAGCACCCCATAAAGCTAGGGCTTAACCCCCTGATGCTGGGCTTGTGGGGCCATGCACCCCTGTAACAAGCTAGCAATTGGCTCCTGCACCTACAACTCTAAACACCCGTGCTAGAGACCCAGGATCAGTGTGTAAAGGCAATTCAAGGAGGAAGAAATCATTAATCCTCTAGCAAGAAAATATTGACCCCAGGCTGGCTGGGGGTGAACCCCAGATATTTGAGAGGGAAGATTATAAACTCAAGGCCAGGTAGGTGGCTTGGTGAGCAGTGGGGGGCAGGGTGGGGTAGCTAACCCGGCAGAGAGCTAGTCTAGTTGGCATGGAGTCTTGGCTTCCACCCTCTGCAAAGCACGAAGCAGGTGTATTGTTGCACCTGTAATTTTAGCACTAGGGAGGTAGAAGCAGAAGTATCAGGAGTTCAAAGTCATCCTCAGCTACGTGAGACCCCCGCCTCTAAATAAAGAAATAGAAACACCAAAAAGAGGGCCAGGGATGAAGTTCCAGGACCCAGAGCTTGCCCGGCATAATGGAGGCCATAGGTTCAATCTCTAAAAGAAGAAGGAAAGAAAAATTTTTTAAATGTCAATTAGCAAAATAAACTTTAAATTTGAGTTACAAAAAGAAAAACCCCAAACTTTCCCTTTTCTGACCAAATAGAGAATGAGTAGCTCAGTGATGCTGCCCCACCCCACCCGAGCCCTGAGGAAACCTACAGGCGGGGCTGTCTCTGTCTCGAGCTGGGTCAACTCTCAGTCTTCTTAGTGAGCTGGTGGCTGCTGTCCCCACTATGCAGCCTTGAGCAAAGGCGGCAGTGGCAGAGGACTGGTGGGGCATGCTTAGCAGGGGCTCCTGCCCACCCAGGGGGAGGGAGAGAGGCCTTCCTGGCCAGGTGTTAAAAAGGACAGAAG